TATGACCATGGCTTGTCAGGCCTGGCCCGAATTTTACAGGCATTAACAACGTCCGGTTGTCGCGAGAGGAGGAGTGTGTCTTCAGCCTCTTTGGCGGTATTTAGGGACACACGTAAAGGGGGTGGCTTATCTCGGGGTGCATGGCTTCCTCGAGAAAGGCGACATAAAGTTGCAGGGAGGGGAGGGAGTCCCAGCATCTGACAGTAGTCGGTCCACATTCGGCTGTCAAATTGTTCCCTCTCGACCAACAATGAGTCTGTCGATACATCGACGTTGAACAAAATGATCGAGTTGGTCCTCCTGTGACCTGGGTTCGTTGTGGGTGGCACGCCCGACTTCCCAATGGGTTTGAGTAATTCCACTGGTTGTTTCTCAGTCACGGTGTGTGGGGTGTTCGGAATGGGTTTCGTAGAGGCTTCGGCGGTCGATGTCTTTGGCCATGCGCTTGACGTCCCCTGGGGCCGGGTAGGGGGTATGGAGACTTGACCTAATATGGTCCCCACGCGAGGTGGCGTGCCCACAGCTGGAGCTCTAGGTCTGTTTCCAGGTCTCTCTGTGTTATCCTTTGGTGTTAACCCTACTTTATTCGAGGATGCTGGTAGCTTTTGCGTGGCGGAGAGCATCTCCTTCAGGCTTTCTGTGCGGAGTGCGGGCATTTTCCTGCACTCTGGACAGATGTACCAGAACCACTTGCATGGTTGTCTCTTCATCAGCTTATAGTATTGTCGGGGGACTTTGGTATCGCAGTGGCAATGTGCCCATCGTTGACACAGGTTGCATGCAAATGCCTCATCGACTACCGAAACAACTTTGGTGCAAACACTGCAGCCATCGGGTGTCGTAATACAGCCTTCCTTCCATGAATAAGGTGCTACGGATTGTGGCGAACTGCTTGTGGCTGCCTTGTTCTGAAGCCTTTTACGTCGTCTTCTATTTCAGGCATGGTATGATCCTTGCTCAAGATAGGACTAGTTTGTGACGGGCTAGTGCTTCTCTGTGTCACCTGTCTGATGGCGACTGGAATTCTAGAAACATGGGTTGGCCACTTCTTCAGAAGTTCGGTGTTCTGCCCTACCTCTGTTTGTCTTCTAGTACAGACTAGTGTGTTGTTTAGGGTGTTACTGGCCGTTGTTGTGCACGACCGCGTTATCCGTGTCAAAGCTTCAGACCTAGCGTTTTGGGCAGACATGTCGCTATGATATAAACTTCTTGGGAAAACAAGTAGTTAACAACAATAAGAGGGTTGAAGACTGAATGCAGCAAAAGGACAGAATAGAAAAGGGAAGATAATTTATGTTGGCTCACCTTCAGACACTTGTCACTTGATCCTCTGCTCTTGACCAACGAGTTTAACCGTAAGCTCCAGATGCGTATGTATAACCAGGAAAGATATTTCCTGGGGAATGACCTCCGAGGAGAACCGAGAGCTAAGGCAGTTTGGCAGCTGAAACGCCCAAGAACCACTGACAGGAGGTAGACCGGTTGGTTCAAAGGAATAATAATGCCAATTTTCAACTGTTGAGGAGTGAGCTGACGAATGCGCAGGGGTGAGGTGCGTGGATGGACAGAAGTGCTGCAAACGTTCGATGTTTTTAGATTGAGTATTGCAAGTGGGAGTTTTTCATTGTGGAAAAATCCAAAAGCTGAGAGACGAGCGAAACACGTCACTACTCAAGGAGCGCGCGTTCCTTCAACAATTAAATTGGCTCTACCTTAGTTTGTTATTATTGTATACCAGTTGAATTCATGCTGACTTGGTGATAGTCGGAAGCGTGACACAGGCAGGATTTTTCATAAATGCGTGGTTCACCCTAAGCAGTAATGTTGATGAACTCAGATTTAATATATCTGCTGACGTATGAAATTCAGATCTCAAAATTGAGGATTGATGGTTTTGAGCCTACATTTGTCTCTTGCTGCCAGATCCATGTTCTTCTGTGGTTATCTTCTTAATGAGTCACCTGGCGATGCGATTGTCCTCGAGGAGACAATTTCAACAGTTGATTTTTCGATACTAAAATCGGCAAACTACGAACTGGACGTTGGTCCTTTCATTTTGGACGTTTCTGTTACGTCATCTGACGTGTCCTGCGCCTTTGGAAGGGAAGACAGAAGACAGATCTGGACTCGTTTCGTTTCTTAAAGTACCGCCTGCGATAGGATCAAAAGAAGAGGTACGGCCTCTGAAGTGGTGCTTCATAGGTTAGTCTAGGAGTCTCATAGGCCATACGAGTGGTTTCCGCCTGAACTCTTCCATATAGGTTCGGGTCACCGTTCAGGCATGAGTTCGCTGCCTGTGCCCACTTTCCTAGTTTCAATTTAGCTAAGGATGCCCGTGAGGTGATGAAAATATTACCACTTGTCTAAACAAACGTTCAGCGTAATGGTCAACGTCATAATACCACGGGTAACCAACTGGTGGTGCACTGTGGTCCTCAAATCATGACTTGATGTGATTCTTAAGTCAATTCGGGTCAACACCGAGGGTAGAGAAGTCCTGTCATTGTCAAAGTTGTAGCTGCCTGCATGCTCTATGTGCATGTAGATACATTTATTCCAGGTGATGGGCATCAAGCATGTCTATGACCAGGTCAACAAACTGTTCAGTTCCGTTCGATTTGTTCGTACATCTCCGCTATCTCGGCACTTTCATTGCGGCCTCACATCATCCACGTGGAGAGCCATGAGCGACTTTTGACGTTCTGAAGAAACGTCTGCCTACAGGAGAAACAGCGTGACATTTAGGACTGTGCCTTGTGGTACTTGATACCGTACCAACTTCCTAGGACAGAGATGCGAATCGGCAGTTGTGCTTCATTCCTGACCAACAAGGAGTTCTCTTATTCCTACAAATGGAATCTCAATGGTTCTGGCACCTTTCAGTTTCCTGAGCAGTCTTGAGTGAGGGGCCTTGTTGAACGACTTACTTAAGTCCATGAAAGTGACACCAGTAGGTATTGAATCATCCTCAAACCCAACCCAACTTTGTGGCCAGAAAAATGTAATTGACGAGGTGAACTTCCGTGGGGGCCACGCTGAAAAGGGGACAATGGGGTCTTGCTCTCAAGGTGACCTGTAATGGCCTTCCCGATTAGTCGTCCGTACTGATCAGGCTTATCGGTTTGTTGTTTGATGAGTTCTTCTTGAAGCCTGTCTTGTCGATAGCCCTGACATTAGTGTCCTTCAACTTTCGCAGAAGCTTTCAGTGAGCGAGGAAAAATTGGAATAAAGTGGTCATCTGGCCAACCATGTGGGATGCAAGCATCCTCAGCAGTTTTGAGTGCAGCTCATCCGGTCCCTTAATGACTAGTGTTATGACTGCATCATTACAACTGACGTCGGCAAGGTTTATTTTGTTGGGTTTCAATGCTTCTGCTTTCGGCTACCTGCTAAATGAAGGCGTAAAAGCAAAGGTCTGAACGCAATATATGGCAGAAACCTTTTTCACTCCTACCTTCTCCAGTTAAAGAGTTAGTCTGTGTCTCTTTGGTTACGGTGGGGATATCGGGGCAAATGTATTCTGCAGCAGTCCGGATTAGACGCGTTTCAAAGCACGCTGAGTAGCAGCCATACATTTACTTCGGTTTCTTTGCAATGCTTCTTCCTCTTGGAGGAACTAAAGTTGGTACAAACATTACAACATATTTCCTTCGATCTTTGTTGTCTTCGGATTTCACGACTTATCCACTTAGGACAGGGTCGTCCCCCTTTTCGGAAAACCATGGAATAACTAGTTGAGACACTTTTTTGTAATACTGTTCGAAATAGTGCCATGCAACCTCAACTATGCTTATGAGTTGACTGCCCAGTCCTCCGAAAGGGCTACATAGTTGGTAGCTGCTACCTTACGGTCCACACAACTGGTCTAGCTGAAGTCTTAGTTTTTAATAATATGGATCCAGGTAACCTGAAGCTATCCTCGGGATGAACTGTTTTATCGGAGGGTACAAAGCGTCGGGTGCAGGCTGCCTCCTATGAGTGAGAGGACACTAAAGGCAGAACCCACGGTCGCATAAGGTTTCCACCCTGACTTACTGCGCAGGAGCCAAGGAAACCGATGTCTTCCTCAACCCACACACGAACGAACTACGTGATGCTTCTGCTCTTAGGCTACCCAGCCACGTGGTGGTGCGTTAAATTTTTCTAGAACTAAACATCTGAACTTATGTGTCAAGAGAGTCAGCCAACACAAGTAGTAGTCTTCCGTCTCACATTCTGGGCTTCGATAAGCTTCGTCAGCTTACCGGTCCTTCGCGCATCCCGCTTTCGTATGCGATCATTTTTGTGGCTCCCAAGATTCAAGATTTCTCCACGCGAGGAATGATACCGCCAACTCTGCGTTCTAATTCCTCGCTTCAAAATATAAAATATCTCCACAGGTGTGCTTCACTGTCACTAGTCTCAGAAGACAGGTGGATTTCGGGGATGCGGAGGCGTCTGGGTTTTTCTACGCCTACTAAGCCATCCAGCTTGGTCCGTTTGCTTGGGAGGCAACGTTGATCTGCACGTAAAAGGATAAAAACACCTACACGAGGTGTCGTCCCATCCATAGGAGCTGGAGAATCGATTACCTACGAAACCTCAATACGGGAAAGTTCACTACTTTTCTCTGACACATGAACACCCTGGTTACTTGGAGTTGCTGGGCGCCTCTGTGTAATGAGACCTATGTTCCTCATTGATTTGAACATCTTTTAAAACAGTCGAAGTCCGTTTTCGACAGGGTCTGTCTACTTTTGCCCATTTTATGTGCCTTGAGCATAGTAATCATGGTATGTTCCCTGGTTTTAATTGTTAACTAAACCCTGAGCCTTTCTTTCTGCACCATTAGGACAACAACGTGGCCCTTAAGGCTTTAATTGCACAGCAAAATGAGTGATCATTTGACGAAAACGTCTAATCGAAGTAAAACTGGAGTATTTATGGCCTACTCATCCAAGATTATCAGACAAATAACTTGTGCTAGCACGACTGTCTGCTGTTCAAGGAGACACACTTACTCATTAGATACCTGACCCATTAAAAAATACAAAGGCACCATGTCATAACGATTAAGACTTAAAATGAGATTGCACAGAAGCGAACGGCGAAAAGATATTTAGTGGCGTAATGTTTTAATTCAGTGAACAATGAAGAAAGGTGGTTAGACGAGCAACTATAAGTCTCTACCGACAAATTTAATCTACAGCTTACTTTGAACCAAAACGTTTGTTAAAATTAGAAATAATCTAAAACGGTTGCAGATAAGTTTCAGACATATTTGAAAGTGAGGACACAAATGCAATTTGTTCCACCATGTAGCGGCATTTGGATTGCCGAAGAGGCGGCGCGTGAAAACACGGCTTACGGTGGGAACGAAGCAGTGCCTGAATACCTAAAACCCTTTCATATCCCCCACTTATTGTGTTCATATATCACAGTCGTGTGGCAGAAGAAATCGAACTGCCTCACAGTACACTCGATCCTTGATAGTCAGTCAGATATCATGATGGAGCCACTGGTAATTTAAGTCGGTGAGAGCCAATCGGGCTTTTTGTGCGGATGCAGGGATTTCGACGGTCATTGACACACCAGGGTTGATTCAAATCCCTAGTCAAATACAAAACTTGACTCACTCAACTCCTTCATTCCCTTTCGTCAGCCAGGGCACCCTTAAGGCCAGCTGTGGAGCGACAATTTATACTAACATGATAAGAAACGGATCTCAGACACTCTCAAATTCCCACCCAAGATTTTTGGAGGATTGCATTACGTCAGTGTTTTCACCCAACGGAACTAAAGTCTGACGAAGTCTAGGTCTCCGGTAAGTATATCAGTCCCTGTAAAGCCGTGCGTGAAAGGGAAGTCTCCGTAAAATTTGAATCTTGGAATCGTCATCCCAGCGTTCCACTCCTGACTGGATGGTAGCCAGTGGCAAATAAGATGGAAGCGAGTCGAAATGTTCTTCAAAATATTCCGTGCATCGCCTAAGTCATGTCCCTCCAAGCCAACTGTAGATCCATCTTTCTCCGCTGCAGTCTCAAGACCCGTCAAAACTTCTCCATAGTTTCTTTGCTTAGCTTCAATTATTGTTACCTATCGGCTGTAGCTGTTCTGTTACCTTTTAATAAGGTACATTTGATTTCCCGCAGTATTCGCGTACATTTTTTACCAGTTTACACATGAGATGCTTCCTCTCCTAACTGAGCCGAGACTTTGCGGTAATGCATCAAAGTGTATCAGTTATTCAAGATGAAGACGCTAAGACCGACTGACATTCTTTGGTTAAGTTCAGGGAGCCAATTGTTGGATACAACGTGTGTGAGAAACCACACTAGCGACCTTTTTGGTGGCGAGCAGTGAAAGTCACCACAAGGCCACCAGCGCATCACGTTGCTTATGGGTTCCACGTGCAATGTGAAGATCGTAGGCCGTTGGATGGTCCGGTTATTCCCATCTCACCCATGTGTTCAGACCCGGCATTTACAACCGGCAGTTTCTCCTGGGATAACCGCCACGCTTAGGGGAGCTGTGGCGTGCCAGTCATCATTATGCAATGTGAGGCGTCGGAACTTCCGTGCGATATACCGTGATTCGGCCTGGAGATCTCTAAAGTGATAGAATCATATACTCGTAAGAAATGGGAGTGTCAACCGTAAGGTATTTCCTGCCTAGTTTCAAGCTGCGCTGTGCATGAGTGGTGGGTGTTCTGTTTGTTGCTGTCACAAGCAAATGTGGTAAGGGAAGAAGGCACCGTTCGGCATGTACCTCATTCCAGGTTTCGCTACCGGTTATGGTGTCACTAGGGAAGCACCAAATAGGTTCGGCGATGGGGGGAGCGGGTAGTGAAAAAAAGTAGGCCGCATATTCGTGGTGTCAGGGATGTAGTAATTTTGAGGTCAAGAATGGATCATCTGTAAGGTGTACATAGTGTACGGTCCACTATTAGTATTTTCGTTACGTCCTGGATCCTGTGTTACAGACCGATATCAACGAGCTGTATTATTATTTTGCATATTGTCTCCAGGATTCGGATTTTGGACTGTTTTTGAAGGAAAATTTCATCCGATCATTTCCCAGGTACGTATTTCTGCCGTTCGGCCTGTATCGAACGCGCCTGACGGAAGCAACCCCTTTTGGGGTCGTAGCGGTTTCATTTTCAGTGCTATTTTCATTCAGCATAGCATATGGGTTCATTCACCTGGTTGCTGACCTCTCAAAGCCGCTGTTTCCGAAGGAAGCATCCTGTTTTGGCACAAGGAGTTCGTTATCATGGATATCTGCTTACGTCCCTCCTTTGCCACGAGGTTTAGACCGGCGTGTTTTTCTGTTAGATGGGGGTTGATTTAAGTCTGTAGATAGGGTGTGCCCGTTACATTTGGTAGGCACATGAAGCATTTTTTCTCTTCAAGTGGTGTGTGGACTGACGAAGTGCTGTACTGGAGTGAGTTCTGCACTTGCCACCTGAATGTACTGCTTAGCCGGTGTCATCTTACCTAGTCTTTCACACTTGGCAGCACCCGGTGTGAGGCTTTCAGAGTCAGGTGTCGTGCCATTACAATATTGGACAGGAACAATATCTTTAGATATGTCCCTTACTGGCCCCGCAGTGAATACATTGTTGTTGAGTACCAACTAGCGTTTTGCACTTTTCCTGTGAATTGGGGTTCGATCCTGAGCTATTTCAATATTTCCAAACATACTTTTGAATTTCATAGTATTGCTCACCGAGACAAACTGCCCGCAATCGAGGGATAATTCAAACTGGAATAGGAACTGTGAACCGGCTTTTCGAGCCCTCTTACAACCACGAGTAACTGGTGACGCACTACAGAAGTCTGAGGTAATAGCTTTAGCCTTCCTTGATGATATACTTTCCGTGACGCTGTAGACGGTGGTTTTCTGTTGTGATGCAACACGCTGTACAGCCTCTGAGGCTATGCAACCGATTAGAGTTTCAGCCTTTCGTGCTCCTTGGGTGTCCATACCTTTGTGCGGACCAAAAACATAAGTAATGGATGTAAGATGCTCGTGTGCAGTATGGACCTCAGTTAGCACCGAGTTAAGCTCCATAACTTTAACAGGATTGAAACTTGCTAAGTTACTGAGGTCCGTAGAAACTTCAGGTGTGCCTACAAAAGGCGTTTGCGACCTGTTCGGTGGGGTTTGGGACCGTGTTTCGTTAGATCTGTGAAGCGTTTGTTTTTCTTGTCCAAGCCGCCTGTTCGGGATCTTTTAGCCACACTGTGTTCCGTTATTTCGCTGGTGTTTGGATACTCTGGGGTGTGTATCTCACCAGGGAAATGTTCCTCCAGTATAGTAACTGACAAGAGGTAGTCAAGGGACCACAGTCAACTAGTTTTTTACACAGACAAGTGGTTACTGAGATCGATATCTAATAATTGGTCTCAGGAAACCGAGGATTCGATAACATAGAGGAAAAGCCTTTTGTTAGGCAGTTGGGCACCTTTGGTGTTCAAATGTCTAAAATCAAACGATTGGCAAAGTTGAGGTTATAATTTGCCAGATCAAGTGTAAATGCGAAGCAAGTTATGAGTTCAGGCGCCTACGATGAATCAGTTGAGGATGAAGTCCATCGCTCACAGGCAAATCCATCATTTTGAGCTGCTACTTCAACCGGTTCTCCAAGCGTAGTAGGTCTATTTCAAGATTAAACCGTCAACAGTTTGGTACAACCAGTGACGTGGTGTAGCAGTGTGCCAGCAATAATCATTATTATTATATTTGTTATTGAATATACGAGCGCACGACGTTTAAAGGTGTGAATAAATCTCTATATAAATTGCACGCATCTTCGTGAAACGTAATCTCAATCCCAACCTACTGTCGCTAGGAGATATAAGTGCTGCATTCTCGTATAATGAAATATCCCAGCAGAATAAGTATGCAGAAAATTTACAAGTTGAACAAGTGGAAGTATTGTCTTCACGTTAACAAAAGATCAGGTTTGTATATGGACACTACATGTATTACCTGGAGAAAAATAAAGCTTGAAGCTAATACTCCCATTGTAACAGTCTGTACTTTTTGCTTGAGATAATGATGAAAGGATTATGCAGGAATGTATGCATGAATTGTTTACATATTCACTTCATTGATGATTCCAGACCTGTACAGTTCATACATGTTAATACCATTCCACATCAGAGATTCATAATCTTGATGAATATTACGACTGGCAGCCAAATGTCTTCTCTTTTCTGACTCCGGCATCCGGAAGAAATAAACTCGTTGAAATACGCTAAGCGGACTTCCAGGACATCTTGTCCGCCATTTACACTGCTGGTGACTTCCTTGTGGTCGGTAAGTGTTGGCTTCCCCGGTCACTTTTATAATGAGTAGGTCCTAGATTTGGGTAATTATGAAGTTTTGGTCCAGTGAACATCTTTATTTCTGCTTGTTGTAGCTAGGTATTGTGAAGGGAGTAGGGCTGGTTATCCCCCACCCCCACCCATGAAGGGTAGTTTAAGCCAATGTCCGTTCCTTAAATAATCATTTCTCGATGACAACTAAGCCAACGCTTAGAACTAAATTGCTTTTCTAAGGCGAGGTAAGACGGAAAAAATGCATCAGGTAGAAAAAGAAGCAAGAATTGCAATAAGGAGTGTCTTTCCTTTGTTCATGTTTCTCCCTGCTTATTTTTCTTTGCTACGGCGTTCATTATGTGTGATTTCTCTGTTGAATACTTAGGAATATAAATTTCATGCAGTCGTGTAGTGTAGAACTCCTGTTTTTGATTACTATGTTGGGTAGGGCAGAACACGCCGTTAGTTTGAGGTGATAACTTACGGAAGTCCCGCCAACGCTTCGTATGAAAGGCCAGTGTAGGTGTGGTGGGTGTCTTACTATGCATAAGAAGGTCCCGGTATACGAAATATCATAAGTGATACTGCTGGTGTATTTGGTAAGCCGGAAAAGTTGCCGGATGATAAGAAGTTAACTAGTAACCGACCAAATTCAGAAGTTGATTTGGAGGCCTTCGTTTTAGCAGGAAGTCTATTCCACAGCCAAAAGAATTTGAATGGTTTCATTGCGACGCTG